GAGCAGGCTGTTGCCTCCTTTGGAAGCATCAGGTACTAGCCAGTGATAGTGGAACTGATGGGACCGTGACCTCCTCTCTCCCCTCTACTCACAGGGGATGTAGCCTCTGCCATGACATCCTTCTCAGAGCCTTTCTGTGTTCACGTTCTTTGCTTGTTGATATGATGAATGGAGTGGAAAAGGACACACACAATTTTTGAGAGCAGGCTGTTGCCTCCTTTGGAAGCATCAGGTACTAGCCAGTGATAGTGGAACTGATGGGACCGTGACCTCCTCTCTCCCCTCTACTCACAGGGGATGTAGCCTCTGCCATGACATCCTTCTCAGAGCCTTTCTGTGTTCACGTTCTTTGCTTGTTGATATGATGAATGGAGTGGAAAAGGACACACACAATTTTTGACTATTCTGCACTGATTAAGGGCCAAAGTCCATAGACATCAGTGGCCTTTCAGTTGGGCCCTGAATAGTGAGACACCGTGGGGTGCTGTGTGAAAATGTTAGCACTGTCTCCTTCACCTTCCTCAGCATGGGCCTTGCATGCTCCTCAGGCAGGTGGAAATGGAGATAAGGAATCGCCAACCCTGATTAAACCAAATTTTCCACCAATATTTTCACTGAAACCAATAGGAAAAGAATGACAGAAAAAACATGAAACGAGACCTGCCAACCCGCCTGTAAAGGGTTAGGAAGGTGTCCCAGGCTCACAGTAGTTCCTATATTGTACGTACCTGTGACCTGCACTAATTGATACTGGTAGTAAAAGTGGGAAGAAAGAAGGACTGTTAACCAGTATTGGCCCATTCTCACATGAAGACTCCTAAACTTTTCCTAAACTCTTCCTGTTTGGACCAATGCCTGCTATCTCCCATGGCTTATACACACTTTAAAATCTCACTTTAGATCTTGGACTGCTCCTAGGCCTAGGCCTATTCTACACTACCCCAGGCCATCAATCTAAGTTGCGTAACTTCAGCTGTGTGAATAATGTAGCTGAAGTCAACATACTTAGATCTCCCAGGATCTTCAGTGGTTATGCTTTCCTATCAACTCCTTTTACTCTTTTTAGTGGAATAGCCAAGTTAACAGGAGACTGCTCAGTGAGTGATTGCTTTATCATATCCAGTAAATTGACACCCCCCCTCCACACACACACATGGGATCGATCACTGCCCGTTGAGCCAGTGAGTCATGAAGGCATACCCCATCTCTCAGAAGCATTTTATGCTCCATGGTGGGTTAAGGTGGCACAGTTGAAAGGGAGACAGGCAACTTAAGCATTCTGGAGGAGGAGGAAAGTCTGGTGGAACAGTCCACAGACTCCTGAAACATAAATAGTGGTATCATACCCAAAATAGGGTACCATTGTTCTAAGAAACATTGACTGCATTATAACTGCCCACTTTCCTTCTGACCTGAATCTGGATTGAGTCTCATTACCAGAGCCCTAAAACGTGCCCCGGAGTGGATTCTGTACTGGTAACATGATACTGCTCCAACACGAGCATTTGGAGCAATGGCACATACACAAAAGTCTGCAGTCCTGCAGTAGCATGCCAGAATGCAGCCATCCCTGTGGTTTGCCATCCCTTGGTTCCCTTCTGTTTTTCCTATTTTCCCGTGGAGAGAAGTTCATGTCTATGTTATTTCCTGGTATTCGAGGTCTGTACTGATACACTGCTCCCCTCTCCCATAGTGGGGAATATCCCATATGAAGCCACAGAGGAGCAGCTAAAGGACATTTTCTCAGAGGTCGGCCCTGTTGTCAGTTTCAGGTGAGAACTGTTTCTCTTTTGGGCATCTCCTATAAGCAGGCCTGGTCTCAGCAGTCACTGATTTGGCATTTATCAGCACACCAGCCACAAGCAGACAGGTCTCGGGTATACTTGGCAGGCACAAGTTTTGAACAAAATGGTCCTTCATCCTGTTGGGGACTGCATGGAGGGTGGTGGAAGATGGTGTTACCAGTCTGGAAAATGCCTTGGTATCATGTAATATTCTGCCCATGTACTATGCCTAATGGCTTTGATTCTTTTGGTTCCGCCATCCAGGTTGGTGTATGACAGGGAGACAGGCAAACCGAAGGGATATGGCTTTTGTGAGTACCAAGACCAGGAGACGGCGCTCAGTGCCATGCGGAACCTGAATGGGCGCGAGTTCAGCGGGAGGGCGTTGCGTGTGGACAATGCAGCCAGCGAGAAGAACAAGGAGGAGCTGAAGAGTGAGTCTGAACCTTGAGTCAAGGGGGGTCAGTGCTACCGTAACGAATGACCTAAACCAACCTCTCAAACGTGAAACAGAAATCTGCTAAGTGAGGCATAAAATCTAGTGTGCTTCCCGTAATGTGATGAGGTTCACAGTGAGAAGCTCACCAATAACTGATGTGCTCCAGGTAAGTTAGCAAGTAGGAGGGATAAGAAAAGGATAGAGAATAAGAGACAATATCTTATTGCCTCTATATAAAAAAAAGGATAGAGAATAAGAGAGAATATCTTATATTGCCCTTATATAAATCCATGGTATGCCCACATCTTGAATACTGCGTACAGATATGGTCTAGAGAAAGGCAACAAAAATGATGAGGGGTTTGGAACAGGTGCCATATGAAGGGAGATTAAAAAGACTTGGACTTTTCAGCTTAGAAAAGAGGAGATTGGGGGGGATATAATAGAGGTCTATAAAATTATGACAGGTATGGAGAAAGCGAATAAGGAAAATTGATTACTTGTTCCCATAACATAAGAACTAGGGGTCACCGAATGCAATTAATAGGTAGCTGGTTTAAAAAAAAACAAAAGGAAGATTTTTCTTCATGCAGTGTACAGTCAACCTCTGGAACCCCTTGCCAGAGAATGTTGAGAAGACTAGGACTTTAACAGGGATCAAAAAAGAGCTAGATAGATTCACGGAGGTTAGGTTGATCAATATTTATTAGCCAGGATGGGTAGGAATGGTGTCCTTATCCTCTGTTTATCAGAGGCTGATAGGAGGGGTGTGTATATGTGTGGCGGGGGGATTGACTAGTCGACTGACTATCCGATCAGCATTTGCATTTGCTTATCGGATAGTTGACTAGTCTTTAACTATCCCTCAACTAAAGTATTGTGTCCAGTTCTGTGCACCACATTTCAGGAAAAATGTGGAAAAACTGGAGAAGGTCCAGAGAAGAGCAACACATGATTAAAGGCCTTGAAAACATGAGCTATGAGGGAAGACTGAAAGAACTGGGATTGTTTGGTGTGGGAGAAGAGAAGACTGAGAGGGGACACAATAACATCTTTCAAGTATCTAAAAGGTTGTTACAAATAGGAGGGAGAAAAATTATTCTCTCTTTAACCTCTGAGGATATGTAAAGAAGCAATGGGTTTAAATTGCAGCAAGGGAGGTTTAGGTTGGACAGTAGGGAAAACGTTCTAACTGTCTGTCAGGGTGGTTAAACACTGGGGTAAATTGCCTAGGGAGGTTGTGGAATCTCCATCCCTGGAGATATTGAAGAGCAGGTTAGACAGACACCTGTCAGGGATGGTCTAGATGGTGCGTGGTCCTGCCATGAATGCAGGGAATTAGACTTGATGACCTAACAAGGTCCCTTCAAGTTCTGTAGTTCTGTGGAACTCCTGAATCTATTTCAAAAGTACGTTTCCCTCCGTTCTGCCTGTGAAGAAGCAGCTGTGAGCCCAATAGCCTGGCGGCGTCGGCCTTTCGGCCAAAGGAGTCAGTGTGGGAAAACACCAGCAATTGTGCTGGCGGCTTCTGTGATGTGAATTGAGACCGAGACCCAGCAGCGTAGGGCTCCCAGGACTCTTGTGTATTTAATCTTTTCTCTTTGTCTTCCCCCCTCTGTCGCTGCCAGGCTTGGGCACAGGTGCCCCCATCATAGAGTCACCCTATGGAGACCCTATCAACCCTGAAGACGCCCCTGAGTCCATCAGCAGGGCAGTTGCCAGCCTGCCACCTGAGCAGATGTTTGAGCTGATGAAGCAGATGAAGGTGAGTGGGAACAAAAAGGCTGGAACCACGTCACGAACTCGCAACCGTGGCCTTGCTGTGCAATAACTCCACCCCCATTCCATGAGGCACCAGGCAGCAGCAGCTCCTCACTCCCAACACCGTGCCATTGTCACTGTTGCAGCCGCGGCCAACCCAAGGCTCACGAGCC